AAACATAGGCTGCCAAAAAAATTATCTGTTCAGCTTAAGACATGTTGCATCAGTTACCAGCAATCTATTTGAAAGGTAAAGGTGGGGTAGGTAAGTTTGAGAAAACCAGCTCGAGTGCGCTAGAATTTGAAAATACACAGCCGGAAAAAATCTGCTACTTCCTCACAGAGCCCCTCCTCCAACACACACGAACGCACACATGACCAATGAGGGCACGAGATAAGTTTGTGCACAGATGGAAGGCTGACAGGCAGGTAGGCCATCCAGTTATTTTAGCCGGGCCGGCTAAAATGATTGGTCGTGCTTTTTACAGTGCTACGGCTTCCACAGATGACATTTTTTTATGGATTTTTTGTCAAAGCACTTAATATATTCATTGCTATCGGGATGTTAAGAGCATTCCATGGAATATAACAAAAAGTGTATCTCGAGCCAGTTTCTCAAACTTACCTACCCCACCTTTAACAAGCAGGATTTTGTATATGATTTCTAAAGTCAATTCATAAACATTTATCAAAGACCTCACTGAAGGCAGAAAAATGCTGCGCTCCCAGCTGAATGTGTGTGACATCTGTGCACTGTGGTCTGACTGATTTAAAAGGAGTGTGATTTCTCAGGTTAAGTGTCTTACTGACAAGCACTTCATAACTGAAAAGGGCGGAATGACTCATTTCTCATAACATATCAGAGTCTAAACAACCAAACTGTTGACCTTGGAGCTGCACGCCCTCTGTGATCCCACCACTCATCCAGCATGAAGTGTGTAGAACCCTGATACGGTAATTACCGTCGACAGGCTGTAGTTTGTCAGTTGTCCTCATAATGACCCTCTAACCACAAGCCGTTTCTTACTCACCAAACAGCATGCAGCCGTTGAAATAGGAATGAGGAATTTATACGCTGCAACTATCTCCATGCATATTAAAACCCTGACACAGTATCTGGTTATTACCGTGCGCTACGAAGCCAATTTTCCGGGCGCAGGCTTAATGTTGCATCGAATGGATTAATATTTTTTAGGTCCGGGGAGTTTGTTTGCCGCCTGTGAGGCTGCTGACTCCTGCAGACTGTAATTGATCAGGTTTGTGTTCTGCGGGCTCCGGTGATTACTCTCAGACAGATTGGAAAACAAAGGGTTCATGAACACAGCCTCTGCAACAGCACAGATGTAAAGTCAGAGACAGAAGCCAGCCGACCGCGATGCTCCTGTTGAGTTAAAGTACGGAGAGAATAATGCATGACTGGGCTCTGTGGGCTCAGATGAGCAGGATGCTGCTTGGTTAGTAGCCCTCTATTGTCTTTCAAAGCATTACTGACTATAAAAGTGACTGGGGCGGATCAGCACCTGTCCGTTGAAACAACACCTGTCACAGGTTTATCCTCCGGTGTACCACATTATTTAAGAATCTGTTAAGTAACTTGGTATGTTTTCTAAAAACAAAGCTCCATATGGGTTTGGGATTCTGCAGTGTGACTAAGCCTGTTGCCCAAAATAGTCCTGTTCTAAGCAGTGGCTCCCACTGTGTGACCGGCTGATCAGTCTTAAAATAAGTCTCCTGTTTTCCTGTTCATTACTTTTTTTTACACTTTAAAAGGAGATATATCGTGACAAAACAGACTTTTTCAGTGTATGTGAACATACAGTTGAGCCTCTGTACTCTGTACTTACTACACTGAGCCTCAGAAAACCAGAGCAACACAACACACATTTAGCTTTGAATATGTGTACACACATGCACAGACAACCACAACATCTCATAAGGACACGGCATTTTGCAGCCCTGAACATATTTTATTGTCTTTTACATTTTACAGAAAATATTCAGTTGTTTTCAGCACAAAAGCTCGTTTTGGTACAAAACGTGTCAGTCTGGGACCTGGGGAATAGGGTTTCTTTTCTACTAGTGATCCTAGTAAATCCTTTAAGTCAGGGTTTGACCTGATTAAAGACTCTCAATTAATAAAAAAATTATAAAAAATGTTAATACATGCAATGAATGCAAGTGTACCTGCAGTCTGGCAGAGGCCTATTTCTTCAGACAGCTGCTAATGCAGATGTGTTAAAAGATTCTCCTCAGCCTTCTCTTTTTCCTCCATCCTTCTCCTTCCTTCATCCTGGATTAATATTTTTTCAAACACAGTCCTTTATATGGGATATCTAGGTTGGAAAGCAAAAAGATGAAGATTTGGCTCACCCTCCAATGTTACACGCAAGCTTATCAGAATCTAGCGCCCCCTAGCTATTACCCTATCTCCACCCACGATGTTGTGTCTACATCGTAGCCTCTCGAAACTTGGTAAAAAAAGCTCTTGCCAAACTTCCTGCTAGACGACATATCCTAAACTAACCATTCAATGTTAAATGCTAACCATACCAACTCAAACTAGTTATGCAAATCAAGAGTCACCATCTAATACCAAGGCTTGAATATATCTTTGCCAAGATGCAGCAGGTTTTTTCTTGCAAGACAATCATGGCTTTTTCGGGAGGGGGGCTTTAAGAGACTTAAAGGGGTACCTATTGTACACGAGTACAAATGTTCAGATTCTAATTTGAATTTTATTTTGACATGTCTCCATGCTTTAATGTTCAAAAAGCTCTTTATTTGTCTCATACTGCCTGTGCTGCAGTACCTCTTTTCACCCTCTGTCTGAAACCAGAGCCCAGTCTGCTCTGATTGGTTAGCTGGCTGGCTCTGTTGTGATTGGTCAACTTGTTAAGAGATGTGTAGAAATGTCCCGCCCCTTAGCCTATTACGTACAATGTGTTTGAGCGCGAGTCAATAGAAGCATGAGTGTTAAATAGTGATGTCACTATGTTACAGAAGTAAACAAAGGAGTTCAATGGAGGCATTTCAGGCAGGGGGGGGGAGTGTGTGGGAGAGAAACTCCCTCTGGAGGGAACACAGGGATTTTAGCCTTTGCAGACCATTTACATGCACAAAAACCTCTATAACACACTACAGGGAAGGGAAACCCTAAGGCAGAATAGGGCCCCTTTAAGAGGATGAATACAGGTATAATCCAACACATAATGTGAGGATTGAAATGAACAAAAACATTATATTTTCCTTAATGTTTCATTACATAGTGTAAAGTCAAAGATCTATCTATGTTGCTTTGTTATTGCAGCAAATCTTTTTTTTTTTCCCTCAGTTCTGGCACCCCCCCCCCCCCCCCACACACACACCCCCCTATGCTGGCAGGAAGCATAACTAAAGCTGCAGTGAGGTTACAGTCATTTCTATGCAGCACTGCAGGGGCAAATATTTCAGTCTAATTGTGTTGTCTTGCACTTCAGAGCTGACTTTAGTGTTACTGGAAAATACATCACCATAAACACATACAAATATCTACTTTCCACCCAGAAGAAATGCTGTGTTGGTTTTATTTTTTAATGAAATGCTACTAAATAAATAAACCATCGTGAAACACTTTATGTTTTTTTGATAGGTTAGAGCCATGAAGTGCCATTACAAAAAAAGTTGTTATCAGCGTGCCGACGATCGTGAATTATCAACGGTGGGGGGGGGGGGGGGGGTCCGTTCTGTGAATCTCCAGAACACACATGTTATGATATTAGGCAAGGCCGTAACCATGGAGTCAACATCGGGGGGGACCAAAAATTCAGTCAAAATTTGAATACTAATTTCCTGCCATTCAAAGGGAAAATATATAAAAACTCACTAACACATAATTCACCATATAATTCACCATATACATTGGGGGGGACACATCCCCCCCAATATTCAGATACGCTCAAAATGTCCGCCCCCCCCCCCAATATATAGCCTAACTGATATCAATTTTTTTAAATAAAATTGCTATTCTATGACTTTTTTATTTTGGCTATTTGTATACTTGAAAATCTTTATGTTCTGTTATTGTGAACTTCACCAAAATGATATATTCTTTTCATATGTAAATTGGTTCCGCCTTTGTTTGTTTATGCATACCTTTATTTTGTACCCGGGGGGTGTATTTGCATGTTTTAATTTGCCCTCTATCAGTTCTGGTGTCTTTTTCTAGTTAGCCAGCCCTAAACTATATCATTTTATTTCGTAATGGTAATGTTAATGAACCCTCCGGTTTAGCTTCTTTGTGTAAATAACTTGTAGTTCTGATGTTAAAACCGAACTTTTCAGGAATAGTATAGGGGAGTGATTTGTAAAATATGCATAAAGAAAAAGTAAATCTGTTTACATCTGTTTCATATGGATGTTGAGAGATGTATCCATAGATCTCCTAATGTTGCTTCCCGGGGGAGCATGCCCCCGGACCCCCCTAGAGGAGGTTAGGTCCACCACCTGCACCCCCCGTCAAATTGTCCCACCCACATTGAAGATGCTTCCTACGCCCATGCCTGAGACACAGTTTTGTGAATATTGTTATTTTTTGCCCCCACGGGCGGGGGCATGGGGTTTAACAGGTTTTAAAGTATCCCATGTGTTAGTGAATTTTTATATATTTTCCCTTTGAATGGCAGGAAATTAGTATTCAAATTTTGATTAAATTTTTGGTCCCCCCCAATGTTGACTCCATGGTTACGGCCTTGGTACTGCAATTTGTGAAGTGCTTTCCTCTGTGGTGTAACGATCAGCCCTGCCCCACGGAGGAAAGCGGCAGAAAGTCGCCTGGAGTTAAAGAGAGCGGGCTGCGTTGCGTGCATGGCTTCCTTCTGCAGGTAACGGGGAGACGCGCTCTGGCGGCGGTCTCGTTCAGGATCCAAAAATACAATTTAAATATTTTGCACACTTATTCCACTAATTCCTAGTGTGCCACTGGTTACGGTGGTACGCGTGCCAGGGGTTGCCGACCCCTGGGTTTGAGTAACAACATAAAGCAGTTGTTAAAATATCATTGGCTCATGCTTATTTCAGGTAAACTGTTTTCAATATGGGGGTTAAAAGGCAGGCAGCACCAGCCAATGCCTTTAAATGCACATTTAGCTTAAAGCAGGACAGCAGCCAGACAGTTTTTTGAGATCTCACTGTACTCACCGTCCAGCTCCTCCACGGAGATGCTGGCCAGGACGTCGCTGTCGCTGTCGGATAGCGAGCGGCTCAGGTAGTTCTCCTTGTAGAGCAGGCCTGCCGTCACGTGGTGGAACGGCATCTTCTCCCTGAGAGACAGCAGAAGGAAACATTTAGACGTCAGCGAAGGAAAGGGAGAAATAGCTCTCTTGGGATTTTCTTCAAGATTAATTGTGAAGTCAAACAACTATTAAGAGCTCCACACATTACACATGTATCTAAAACATCCTGTTAGCAGACTCAGGCTGTATCAGGGTGAATGCTTGATCCTGATTGGTCAATTTGGACATTCAGAGGTCTACTATTTATTGATAGAAGACCACTGCTAAGTATAGTAGAGCGTTTCAAAGGATGCTCTGAACTAAATGCGATCTGCAGTCATATCAATCGGCAGAAAGAAGTCCGGTCGACTTAACGTCAGCTGTTGCCAAAAAAACGAATTAGTTTTCAACACTTTGCATTATATGAATATTCCTTTTAATATGTAAAGGGTGCATGAAACGTTTGACCCATGGTGGATGAACTGTTCCAAGTAAGGGAAAGAAAAAGAGAAAAAATAGTGCAAGAGAAAGAGTTTAAAAAACAAAGAGCTGGACGACGAGAAATCAGCAGACGAAACTGGACAGGAAGTACACATGAGCGGGAACAACAGAAGAAGACAGACAGGAAGTAAACACGAGCGGGAACACAATATGGGCTCTGGCAGTGTTTAAAGACTGGTTTATAGAAAAGAAAATGTGGACAGTTAAAAAACCTAGATCAGTGCTGCTGCATTTTAATTTACGCTGCTGTCACCACAGCCCTTGTTAGGCAATAAAATATACTTATTCTCAATATAATATTTTTTTTAATCAATATTGTGAGTTACAGTAGATCGTTGATTTATTTATTAAATAGCCGTGTAATAAGCGCCTGTTTCCCGCTCACCCTGTCAGGGTTCTTTTCTCATTAATGGCCTGCAGCACATTCCCCCTTACTCCATCAATGATACAATTAGGAAAATGACCAGTAGGATGCATGAATCCACTTTTCAACCAAACTTGAAATTGGTTTGCCCTTTTGTGATATTGGTGAAACAAATTAGCGTCCAAGCAGCACAGTATAAACGAGATCCATAAACGAAGCAGAACTCATTTGCTAAATGGAAAGTCACGCAGTGAGGGAGACACGTATAACTAGGGGTAAATGTACAGTGTGTGTGTGTGTGTGTGTGTGTGTGTGTGTGTGTGTGTGTGTGTGTGTGTGTGTGTGTGTGTGTGTGTGTGCGTGCGTGCGTGCGTGTGTGCGTGTACTGTATGCACAAGGGTGACTGAGGCAATTCATTATTCAATAAATGGAAGCCCCAGGGCACAGGAGGAAAATAAGAGCACATAGAGCACAGATATTTGTGTGGATGCTTCCTCCTCTCTAATTGGATTTCATCTTGATGAGATGTGTCTGAGACAGAATGGAAGTTCAAAGTGTGATGAGACTTTACACCAACAGAGCCTTACAGAACACTGACTGCTCTGTTTAATGCGTTTGTCTCTTATCAGTTGAACTTAACATCATATGTCTGCAGAGTCTAGTAAGCCTCACAATTACAAGAAATAGAGATGTAAAAGTAAAACACGGTGTGAGATTTGCAGCAGTTCTGCCCTTTGGATTCATGCATCCACTACAGTACACTAAAGTTGTATGAGTGTAATCCTCAGAATGACACATGCAGGCCAGTGTCCCAGGCAAACAAAGGGAACGAGTCAAATACTTCAGCACTTATCTTATTAAATAATGTATTTGACATGTGAATCATTTACTGAAAGACTCCCTTCGGCTTGCTGTTCTTTAGAAACCTTTAGCTTGCTTTTAAAGGTGCCCTATTATGCTCATTTTCAGGTTCCATATTTGTAATATATCTACCGGGATATTGACCGCTTAGAGATGTCCCACCCCTCAGCCTATTAATACAATGTGTTGGAACACCAGACAATAGAAGCGAGTGTTACATAGTGATGTCACTATGTTCCGGAAGTGAACAAGGGAGTCCTATGGAGGCGTTTCAGGCAGGGGGGGGGGGGGGGGGGGGGGGGGGGGGAGTGTGTGGGAGAGAAACTCCCTCTGGAGGGAACACAGGGATTTTAGCCTTTGCAGACCATTTACATGCAGAAAAGTTAAAATCATTCTGAAGCAGAGAGGACATGACAGCACTGCTCTACTGTAAATTCCTAATAGTCAATGATTAGAATAACAGACGACAAGAAGAAACACTTTAGGAGGAAGACAGTTAAGCCACTAACAAAGTTGAGAAGTTTCTAAACTTTAGAAATCTCATGAGCCACTTATAATTGACTTTGCTTAGACTAAGTAGCCATTAAGTCTTAACTAATATCATTAGTAAGTAATGAATAGAGGTTGCTGTTTTGTGGTACCCAATAACCCATGCTAAATGGTTATTGGACTGCATTTATATATAGCCCTTATTCTTCTAGTCTTAAAGCTGACACTTCCACATGTACACTGCAGTAGCAAAGATGATCTCATCATTAAAGACTTATTACTGAAAGACAATCCATAATCATGAGAAAGTAATACCCTATTTTCATTGCAAAATGGCAAAGTCAATAAGTAAATAAATCAATTTCAAATAGCTTCCATATGTTGCACATTGTTATATTGAGATCAATAAATCATGCATGAAAGAAAACCTTTCAATGTATTACATTTGATTTGATTAGCGATGAGGTGATCATATGGTATATCTGTTCAGTTCTTGATAAAATATCTATTTTTGCTGCCATAAGCTGCTTTTTATCACTACGTCCAGCATCTGAGCTGCCTGCCATCCGTTTCCTCACAAATTGAAACTGCTCCCCACATCTTTCTTGTTTGTCAGTTTAATAAGCATGCATATCTAGACTCCTGCAATATGCCCTAAGCTTTTATTTTATCAGCTTTCCACGCACATGTCAAGATTTTTCATTTTCTAATTCATCAATTATTCAGTCATCTTACTGCTGTCGTTATGAATATTACAATCCTCGCTCCTGTCCGTCTTTCCGTACTATCAATACGAGCTAACCCATATCGTCAGTCGTTTGACACAGGTGTAAACTATCCTGGGTTTACAGTTCTGCGGCCAACATGAAGAAATATTGATCAGAATGATTTACCATGCAGGCGATAGAATTTACATTCCATTACAGTCCATTCTTCAGGAGCAGTGTGCATTCACACACTAGATTAAAGACTGTATTGTCATGCAGCTCAAACCTTTGCCCTTTGGCTTTAGAGTGGCTAAAGCCAGCCGTGTGTGTGTGTGTTTAATGTGTTCTCTATTAGTATGGAGGGCAAAGTGGCTTCCATTGTGAGATTTGTCACGTTTCTGACACTTTCAACAATCCAGCAAAAAGGTTGCACCAAACAGAGGACAGACATTCGTTTTAGCAACAAGGACCATGGAAATGTTGTTCTGGTGACAGGTCGAAGATGAACTGTAGGATCTTCGGAGGCCTGAAAGTGCAAAACAATTGAATCAACGGAAACAATTGATAGGAAATGACTCGATTCATTCAAGTATTCAAGAAAACGATCTAGGCGAAAAAACTCCAAGGGTTAGGGTTAGGTTTTCGGTTAGGGTTGGGTGTTCAGGGTTGAGAATAATTTGCACTAGCCCATTGATCTGTGGATAGGTGTGGCAAATGTGTGGTTTGTCGAGTGTAGTTGGCTGCTGGTAAAAAGGGAACAGGACCCCCATGGAGATCCCGAACGTGGACCAGAGGCGAAGGAGGCTTTGGCGGGGGCTGTCAATCAACTGTCAATCAGCCCCCTCTGTATGGTGGTGCCCAGCTTTTCTATCCAGTTTTTCATCCTCTTGCTCTGTACAATAGTGCAACGGTCAATGGACTCCAGTCCCTAGATAACCAGGTTAACAGACAGGTGAGATTGGAAATTATTAATTGAGGTTGTGGTGAGACGACCTTCCCCAATGTTGTAAAGGTTCTGTTTCAGTCTGGTGAGTATGGTGTGCTTTGTCTCTTCAGATATAGTGTTCATGGCAGATGGTGCAGGATACGATTTGACTATATTGCTGCTGTTAAGTGGAAATTATCCGAGGGGTATGTTTACTGTTCCACTGTATTGTCTGTGTACGAACTTTCCATGGATGTAGTGTTGACTGTGTAGTGTGTGTGGTGGGGCTATGTGTCTCGAGAACTTGCAAAAAATGTGTATATCCTGGAGGCTTTTGTTCTTCCTGAAGACGTGCTTGGTGAAGTGTCAATGTTGTGACTGTAATTTGGTGAAGTTCTGTTTGATGGTGCCATGTCATCATGTTTGTTGCCTGAGAGAAGGTGCAACTAGTGGTATGAGTTTTGGGGGGGTCTGTCCGGTTGAGGTCAGGTAGGTTGGTCTGGCGGAAGGCGAGGGGAGATCCACACTCCAAGTGGGGGACTTTGAGTGTATACTAAATACAGTGGCGAGCCGTGAGCTTTATACCTAGGCCCTCTGACCCCCACCAATTCCCTCGAAAAAAAAAAAAAAAATGTTTACGTCACAGCGTATACTTCAGCGGAATATCAAAACAACGGCCCAGGGTGCAAAACGCATCAATAACAGCGACCCTCTACCACCCAAAACAACACCTGGGAACCCCATTTGTGTTCTTTGACATTGAAAATGATATTGCATTGTGTTTGTTACTTTCGTTGCAGTTGTATGTCTTAAGTGTCATTTGGCATGCTTTTATTTTGAAGGTGAGTTCACGCTGTTGACAGGAAGTTGTTGTTGCTATGGAAACAAGAAAAGTTTCACAGCGCGGAACTTGTCATAAAGTCCGCGATAATAAAACCCACCCATTTAGAGGGAAGATATGATTGGTCAATTGTACTGTCATTTGACATTACTCTCTCGTTCAGTTACTATAGCGGGCCCTCTGTGAATCGCAGAGAGGGCCAGACGAGCTTCTTTCATGTAACCCTTCACATTCAACAGAGACTGAACAGGCAGATTCGAAGGATTTATTTCTTTGGAAATGTTATTTTAAATACAATTAAATCAAGTTTTTTTTCGGTAAAACTAATGAAAAATATAACAAAAATATTAAAAATATATA